AAGCTTAAGAGCTGATTGAATTGTTTCATAGGTAGGAACTACCTTCTGCTAAAAAGACATGGCATTATAAATACTGTTTTATAATGTATTTATAATGATTTATTTTATACATACTAGATATCTCGAAAGCACACGTACAATGACCAGAACTGAGAAGGCTTTAGAAATTTATATATAACTATTTATGAAATAGAAGAATAGATGGGAAGTTCAAGTTGAGTTATATGAAAATAGTCATTGTACAGGATATTGCTTTTTTTTCTTTGATTTCATTATAAACTAAATAGCAAGCTGTATTAAGAAAATTGGCAGTTAATTTGTGAACAGAACTGTAGTACTTCTTTTTTATTTTGGAACCCCTGAATTTTATTACTGATTGGTATAGATAAGAACATTAATTTTGGCAATAAAAGTTACAGAAGTTAAATGTTAATTATGTACATCTTTACAGTACATCTCTCTTACATGAAAAATCATGTGATACAGCATATATTCAGTTAACTGATACATATGAACTGACAATTGAGTGTTATTTGCTATATAATACGTTTGAAATATTTTTTTTGTGTAACAGAAAAAAGTACACTCTGCCTAGTTTATTGTTAACCATTCTTCTACATGTAACATCTGTTTACATTAGTAATGTAATTGCTGTGATAATAAGCTCATTGATTTAGTATCTAAGGAAATAATCAGTCAAGACATCACATTTGTCTTGCTTTACTTGACAGCCTGTCTTCTATACTGAATAGGCGATATCAATTCTTCCCATTGTTTCAGAGAAATGGAGCAACAAAAAAACCCAGAAAGGTCTCTTTCCTTTGCCAACTATTTCCATAAAAATGTTTGCTGCAACTAACTGGTATTGGACAAATTTAATTTTAACAGTGGCACAAGGCCAGTACACTTTAGTGTAGGAAAATTGTATTTCTTTTGTTATTCAGACAGTATGACAGCCTTATCTTTCACTTGACAGTTAACAGAAAAGGACTGTGAAATACTGGAACTGAAATAAAGCAAATACACAACTAGGAAACTTTGGTTAAACTGTCTCAGTAGGATTTTTTCCATTTTCTAAACATTTTTGTGTGTTAATATATTAAAAAAAAAGTCTACATACTAGTTGTTAAGAAGCTATTTACAAGATTGTAAGATCTCTATGTACTTGGATTCACTTCCTAAAATAGCAGAGGAAAACAACTGGACATGAGGGCTAAAATATAGAACAATCACAGGGCTATGATTTTTTTTTTTACTCTATCTTATGGACAGTGATGCCTTAATGAATCTGTCTTGCCTGAATTTAGGAGTTCATAAGCTTTCGTTCACAGACGAGTTCATGGGCTGAAATCATAGAAGTTCAGGTTGTCTTGACCCTGTGTGATGTTCAAGCTAGGGAGGACAAGAGTCTGTCCCCTCTATCTCTTTGTCACCCGTGAAAACCAGTGTTCACCACGGGGCCTTTATGCAGCAGTGCTGAGTGACTTCTGTGCCTGGAATTTGTTGCAAATGAGCAAAGAGCAAGAGAAATCTTGTTCCCTCCCCTGTGGAGGTGAATCTCTACTGATCAGTTTATAGGCAACACAACTGAACCTGTACTATAAACAGAAATAATAATAGAAATAATAAAAAAATAGAATAATACTGCTCTCACTATGGAGCACCAATATGTGACAGGATGAGGGGTACTGGCTTCAAGCTGAAAGAGAGTAGATTTGGATTAGATATTAGGAAAAAAATTTTATTATGAGGGTGGTGAGGCACTGGAACAGGTTGCCCAAAGAAGCTGTGGATGCCCCATCCCTGGAGGTGTTTAAGAACGGGTTGGATGGAGCTCTGAACAACTTGGTCTGACTGAAAGGTGCTCCTGTCCATGGCAGGGGGGCTGGAAATACAGGATTTTTAGGTCCTTTCCAACCCAGGCCATTCTATGATTCTATAATACCTTAAAATTACTGCTCTTAGTTACCGTGTACTTCACAGATTCAGTTAATCTCTAAACATTTTAGAGAGAAAGGGAAGAAGCACTTTTCCTCTTTTAAAGATAGGATTAAAAAATACATTTCAAGTATTATATACTATGGATGTGTTCTCCAGGAAATGAACTGAAAAAATAAATGCATCTCACTCTCCCTCAACATCAGAAAATCCAGGTTTTCTCTCCTCTGCATAGCATTTGTTTTAATTGCAAGTGGGAAGACTTACACTGTGGAAGAGTCAGTGGAAATGAAGATATGCAAAACTAAACCCTTATCATGGAGTGTTAATTACCTATGCAGTAGTTGTACTTACAAGATGAGAGCAACGAAAGACAGGTTGTTCTTTGTTTCCAAACCAGATGCAGGGTAGCAGAAGTGTGGCCTCACAGCTCATCTAAATTCCGAATTCCAGCAGGCTGACATCTGCTCCTTTTCTGCTGATGAAGAAGCACTGACAAACACTTTTATTTTCTTCTTTTTCCTCCATAAAGACCTTCTTGACTGCTTATATTTGTAAACTCAAAAATGAGCTCTTCCCACTCAGTGTTTTTAACCATGATTACTGAAAAAAAGAGGTTCTGTTAAATTGAAGAAGAGAGGCAGGGTCTAGATGAGATGTGCTGGGAGGTATAATCATATACCACATATTTACTGATGTACCACAAAAAAATGCCAATTACAATTGAACAATGTAGCATTTTTTTTCCATAACTCTCCTGGACAGAAGCCTTGAAAGGTTTCTCCAAAATGAAGTCCTTTCTTGTCAGACAAATGCAGTCTATTCAGTTGTGGCCCCTTAGGGAATTGTTGGAAGAGTTCAGACCTGACACAGGTCCAGACCCCTTTCTTCTCTACATAAGGTAGGAAATCTGTGTTTCTGTTTAAATTTGAAGGATAGTATTCTATATATCTTGATGTTCTTCCCTTTCTCAGAAAAAAAAAAAAATCAAAAGGACATGATGCTAATGCTGTCCAAAACAGTAAGTTTGAATCCAGAGGAGGCCACGAAGATGCTCAGATGGCTGGAGCTCTTCTCCAGATAGGCCGAGAGAGTTGGAGCTGTTCAGCCTGGAGAAGAGAAGGCTCCGGGGAGATGTTGAAGCCACCTTCCAGTACTTAAAGAGGGCCTTCAAGAAAGCTTGAATATTTTTTCAAGGGCATATGGAGATAAGGCAAGGGGTAATGGATTTTAAATGAGAGTAGGTTTAGATTAGAGATACAGAATAAATTTTCTAGTGTAAGGGTGGTTAGACACTTGCACACATTGCCAAAAGAAGTTGTGGATGCCCCATCCCTAGGCCAGGTTGGATGGGGCTTTAAGAAACCTGATCTAGTGGAAGGTTTCCTGTAGTGGGAGGATTGGAACGTGGGTTGCGTGGACAATGTGCTGCTGTGGTTCTACATGCTTACTTGACATCTGGGAGAGATTTGGTAGAGTACTTTCATATTGAGAGTTGCACATCAGTTGTACTTTTGCAGATGTATTTGTTCCAGTCCCAGCTGAACATTTTTTTTTCCTCTAATAGTAATTTCCTTTTGAAATGAAATGAAGATTTGGCAATACGTGAAGAAATACTGTGTGTTTGTCACCATACTAACAGCTTTCCCAGTGCTCTTTTCTGAAGATGGAAATACAGTATATGCCCAAACTATAAATGAACATCTACTATATGGGTAGACTATGTATATTGAGTATTTATTTATTTATTTATTCATATACATGCATGTGCATACACAAATATTGCTGTAATGTAAAAGATATGTTATAGACGTCCAAAATAATATATGTGTTTCTTCAGATTTAAAGATATTTATTTCAGTTTTAATGTTCTTCTTCAGGAAAGTGTGCCTAGTAAAGCAGTTTTATTGAGATACAAATAAGCTGGTCCTGAGATTCGGCAGCATATGCACTGACAGCTCAGAAACTGGGACTGGAACATGAGCTTTCTTCCTACTGGTTTGTACCTAACTAAAATGGTTGTTCTTATTCCTATGACAAGGGCGTTCAGAAAGTTGAATCCAAATAAAAGATATATATCTGGATAGCTGTACTGGATAGCTGATAGTAGCTTAAACAGTAGTGAAATACGGCTAATGGGTAGAAGGCATCCGAATCCAATCCCCATCCTCTAAAGGCATCCATTCTGATTGCAAACAGGTTTTACCTAATGATTTCCACACAGGAAAATTCTGGACTGATATCAATTTTAACTTTTTTTGTTTTTGTTTTTGTTGGTTTTTTTAATAACCTGACCTTTCCTCTGAGAGAAAAAAAACTAGTGGAAATGCAGCTCTAAGAAGAACCCAGTGGGAAACACCTGTGGAAAAGCAGATCTTCAGCATAGAAAGATGAAGGTTCACTGTGTGAAAGGCCTGTGTTAAAGGTTCTTGTCTGCTGCTACCTGAGCAGAAACACTGGAGGGGAATGAAGGCAGAGAAGATGAGGGAACAATTTTCTCCTCCGTTCCAAGATGCAAGATGTGTTTCAGTTTGAAACGTACTGTGTCAGTCACACAAAAGCTTGTCATTAGTACAAAGTCACCTCAATTTTATATATGTGTCTGAGAATAACACTTTCTATGGTTATGCCAAATTCTGTTTGCCTACTCACCTCAGGGCAGATGAGTTTTTCTGACTATCAACTGGGTATCACTGGTGGCTTTTATTATCACCAATCATCAGAAAAAAGAAGAGTAAGTATTGTGCTGATTTCATAAAGTTTTATTGTGTAAGCTTGTTGAAAACAGCTTTGGAATTTTTTTTTCCTCTATTTCTTTCATACTCACCATTTTTGTGTAGGTTCTCTGCCTCTTACTGGGTTTTTGCTCATGGCTGCACTGCTTTGTGGGAAATAAGCAGTAATTCCTTTCAAATAAGGCAGAGGATGCAAGGTATTCTAGGATGATCTATATTAAATCAGAAGGCTGTATGGTTAGTGTTGATAGAATAATATAAAAATTTTACATGCATGCTGCTGCTCTTACTTTTAGGTGGTTTTACACTTTGAGAACACTTTTTCAGAATTCTAGTCCTGGGAGATCAAATGACATGAAGATGATGGATTGTTGAGGATATCTTGAAATGAACAGTGCCTGTTCCATTTATGAATATAACAACCTTCAAGGTAAGACATGAAAATTGAAAAATCAGTAGTTAAAGCTGTTAGAAGTAAAGCAACAGTTATGGAATGGAGCTATGTATAAGCTGCTTCATATATGACTCATTGGTACGCTGTAAAATTTGAGTGTAGGTTTGAGTAACCACTTCAAATAGCCATGGAGATTAGTATTTCAGTCACTGAGGACACACTGGTCCAGGAACTGTTTGAGGTAAAATTAACAGCATCTTTATATTTTATTTCCTTTGATTAAAATCTAGTAAAAATTAACATGCCACTACTTGTAAACTCCACTTTTTAAAGAAAATTGGACTCAGCGTTACAGGAGTTTTCTCCTTAAAGCTTCTGACCTTACATCTTGTATCAATTAAACACTTCTGAGCTATCTCAAATGGCGTTTTCCATCCCTACCTCTTCTGGCTGTCATGGAAACAGCCATGCACCCTCTTATAAAGGTACTGTAATACTGTTGAGCTCTGCACAAATCACATTAATAGTGGAGTTGGAATCAACTTAGACATAAAAAGGGTTGTAGGCTTAGGGAAATAACCCCTTTCCTCTCTTCTGGACAGCTCCAAGTCTGAGCATTTCCTGGGAAACCAGGTTCCATTTCCTGAAGGAAAGTCATCCTGAGGGACACCTGCAATTGTGCACTGAGGTGCACATAAAAATGGCAGGCATGAAATCCCTGCGTTTACTGTGAGCTGGAGAGAAGTTTCCCTCTGAGATCTGTGATTTCTGAATGACACTGAACTTTTTCCACCCAATGCCTCTTTTCAAGGGTGCAAGTGCTCGTGAAGAAATTAGAGAGAGATTATGAAATGCTGCACCTCAGATATGTTGTTGTCACAGCACAGAGAAAAGTCACTGCCAGGCTTCAAACTTGCCTTACTGTGTAGACTATTACAGCACTCTTCCCCCACCCACAAATGCCATCTTGATGGTCATCAGCATCAGGAGGAAAAATGAACATCTGTATGGGGGAGAGTTTATTTTATTTTTTTCTTGTTGTGAGCTCCTTTTCCTTACAGGTATTCACTTTTACTTTTCTTTGTTTCATTTTTGGAGTTGAGTGTTATATGGTTTGTTCCAAGAAAAAAAACCAAACACACTTGAGAATAGGGGATATGCTCATTCCCTCTCATAGTGAAAACCCCTCAGCTCTCTTAGCTCCTCTTAGCTGGCATTCCAGCAGGAATCCTGGAAATTTCACTCTTACACCCTCTCCTCCCACTTCTATTGAATGAAATGGCAGCAACTGCTCCACCGTTAGGATCAATATCCACGCCATTATGTTGGCAAAAGGAGCAGCAAATCACATTTACGTGGATTGTCAGATTCATTATTATAAGCAGATGGCAGCCCTTGCACTACAATGCAGCTGAGAAAAGACTGACATCATTTCAAATTAAAATCTATAATGCTAATACACATCTCTAACTCTTTGTACAGGCCTAAGTGCATTAATCTTCTGAATGATTTGCCAACGTGTGCACTGCTTTAGGTGTTTTCACTTGAGTGGAGCTAAAAGGAAAGCTTTTAACTGGAAATGGTTAACATTTATTCATACAGATTGATAAAAGTTAACATGCAATTTTCTTTACCAGTAGCTCCCTAATAGGAATTAATGGGACATTTTGAAGAGAATGTGCCAATTTCAGAAGTCTGGTTTAAGAAATGTGTTAACCACTGAAGAGAAAAATATGTTACTAGCATCTCCCTTATATATATTGCTCTTAAAATAATTACTCATAAAAGAAAGTAGGGCATTTTTAAAAGTGTGGTAGAATTGTCTAAGTATGCAGAGAAATTTCATTTGTTAAATGTGGATAAAAAATGAAAATTTTTATTATCAGATGACTATCAAAATTTTGAAAAATGAACATAAAATAAGTCTACTCTTTTAATACATCTAAAGAGGAAGACAGTTCCTAATAAAAAGGAGTTTAAATATATCGGGTTTGGTTTTATCTGCAATGTCTAAGCAATATATCTTGCCATCATATTTTCAATAGCATGCTCCAGAATATCAGAATTTCATACACAGTTTTAAAGGATGCAGAGGCTGATTCCTCCATTCTTCCACCTTTCTCCAGAAAGGATATATCTAAGAGAGAATATCTTCTGATGAATGAAGTATGGACAGAGTGTGCTGCCAGGCTGCCTAACCATGAGAATGTAATGCTTTTGCTTCTAGAGGAATGTTTGCGTAATTAGAGACTGTCCTGAATTTCTGCTGCCTGCAAGTAGGATGCTGAATAACTCCACTTTGGAAGCCATGTCATCACAGTGTCTGTTCTTAGTTAAATACCTTTCCTTTTGGAAGGCCTTAATAGGTGAACTCCGTTAAGCCGATGCAGCTGCTTGGTTTCATAGGGCAAAAAAAATTCCTGTGTTATCCCTAAAGAAGATTGTTTTAAAACATCCAGATTTACCACAAGGCCATGAAACTCAGGCATCCTCCCATCAAAAGCTTCATAAATATATATGTCATGGCAGCAATGCTTAGCTTTGCCAAACAGGTAACTGAAAACATGATGTTAAAATGTTTTGACCAGATCCAGGTAGGATCTATAATGCCATTTGCTGTTATCGAGAGATTTAATTTAAAAAGAAACAGAGCCTTCAGATCTACAATATGCATTGCCTTCTCCCAGTATATGCCAGTGTCACATGCTAATATGTGTTTTAGCAGATCTCTGGGATGTGAATTAATCACTTCTTTAAATGTGTCATTGATGTTTACTTTTTCTGAATTCTTTTTATTATTAGCACATCTGAAAACACTTGTCTCTGTGTTTCATTCATATTTGTTCACCTTAATGACAAAAATAATTTCTTAATACTTTCTTTTTATTTTTATCTGACTCAGTTCTAAAACCTAGTTTGACTTGACCAAACCATTTGTTATGTGCAGGAACAGAAAATAACGTTTCACTAGTATAAGCATTATAAAATAGCTTAATAATTTGTTTACCCATATATATATTACTTTTTTTGAGTAGGGATTGATTTCTATTACAATTAATTAAAAAGTAGTGGAAAAAATAGTTTTTCTTTTTGGGAAGTAGTTTTAAAACATATAAGGTGGGGAGCTGCACAGCAAGATTCAGAAAAAAATAATGGAAGACAATTTCATTTTCCAAATTTTTTAAAAGAAATGTGATTCAAATGAATTAAACTTGAAAGATATGTACCCAGTTACAGCTATATGAGTCTGATCTTCCAAAAGACCTTATTGTTTCATTAAAAATTTTTTGTATTTGAAGCTTCCAGTTGATATGAATGCTGAAATTAACTGATTAACATAAGAACTTTAGGTCAGCTTTAACTCTGTGACAGTCAGAGAATAAATTAATAAGAATTCTGAAAAACTAAAAACTCACCAGTGTTTTGATATGTTGAGCAGGGCTTGTAGCCACATTTGAATCTTTTGAATGTTTTATTTTTAAAGTGCTTTACCAATTATTGAAGTCCTAAATCTCATGCACAACTTTCAGCTCTCTTTTTTAGGGGTTACAGATGAAAACAGGTACATTCAACCAGTGAAGGATGTTGAAATTTATGGTCCTGATTATTTAAAGTGTATGAGTTGCATCTGATATTTATTTAAGAATTTCTTTTCATAGCATAATATTTAAACTGCTTAATTAATGGATAATAGCAAGAGACGGGAAATGTGTAATTTACAAATTGAAAAAAGCTCCTAAAAGTTTTGCAGAACATCTGGAACTTTTCCACAACAGTCTTTAAATAATATACTCCAAGCTATAAATCCCATTATCACACATCTCACATATGTACTACCACGATTACTCAATGATTTGATTTCTCATATATGCATTGCATGGATTCATTAAGTACAATATGCACTAAGATTCCTCACTCTTTATTCATTAGTCAAGTTAAATATCGAGTACTGTGGCTGAATTAACAGATTGAATAGAGTCCATGAAATGTTAGTTCCAGAGCTTATTTTAGAATATGGCATTTCTCGCAAGTGACACTCAGTGACACAGTTGTAAAGCTGTAGTAGTTTGGTAGTAAACTGTAAATTAGTATTTTTTGAATACATGGAATAATAGACTATTTTTGATCTGTGGCTGAAGATAGAAGAAGCATTTACGGGTTGTGTGTGCCTCACGTTGCATCTGAGCCTTACAATGTCCGCTTCTTTCCCCATCCCCCTTTCCTTTGCCTGCACTGCAGTTTGTTTTACTGACTGAACACTTAAAGAGATATCTACTTAAGGATGTCAAAAGGTGTAGTAAATGGGAGGCAGGCCACTGGGAGACAAAATAGGGAGGTCATTCCGCCTGACCTCCTCCTGTTTTTTCCCACTAAGAAAGCTGCTGCTCAGCTGACTTAAGATTGAGAGACAAGGCAGAAAAACAGCAAAAACAGTATTAACCTGTTTGGTACTGTGCTTTCTACTTGCGAAAGGTTTTCCTTCATGCTAGTCTCCTGTTGCAGTCTTTGACTTCTGAAATGCTACAATATATTATTTTTTCTCTGTTATTTACCCTGCATGCAGGTCATGTAAGTGTATGGAAATCCAATAATAAAGTCCTCTCTGACTTCTATTAGTTTTAAAGAGATTATTTTCAACAGTTAACCTAAGACTCTTGGTAGCTGATGGTTTTGTTGACATTGTAAAGAGGATTTTTTTTTTAGGTGATATACAATGCTCCTGTAATTTCTGGTTGTGGCATTAACATATTGGGAAGGAAATTCCAGCCTTTAACCTCACAGCTATATTGATGAGGTGCAAATTGATTTCTTGTGTGTATTGAGTCTCTGAGCTGGGCAGGACAGTCCCAAAAGGGAGCATTTAGTCGAGTGCAAGTGGATGTCATATTGAAGAGAAGCAACAAGTCTACTCCCCTTACTGGTGTTGTGTACCTTCTCTTACCCAATGCCTGTCAGATTATGTCCACTTTGACAGTACCTTGTTTTGCTAATCAGTAGAAATGAGGAATATTTTCTACGTTGGGATCCACTGTAAC